TTATATTGTATTTTCAGAGGGGGTTGATTAGTTTAGGTGAAGGACGCTTTGGCCCAGCAGTGGCCAGATTTTGTTTTGACAAGGCATTAATTCTTTTATTAAAGTTGCTTCATTAGTTCCAAGGTACTTTCCACCACCACCACCCCAAATCCTAGTCATTAACTTTAAAGTTACTGAGAGTTTGAATTTAAATGCTTGGAAACATAATTTTTTCAAATAAAAAAAAATAAAGCCTATGTAGCACACTACAATATATCAGGTAATGCCTTGTCAAAACAAAATCTGGCCATTGCTGGGCCAAAGCGTCATTCATCTAAACTAATCAAACCCCTCTGAAAATACAATATAAATGTATTAAGCATGCAAACAACTACTGTGTACACTGAATTTCCAGCAAAACACTGGCAGCTTGCTGAGCAGACCTGTGGGAAAGCAGAGCCACAGCTTAATATATCCTTGGCCTGCTAGATTTCAAAGATAAGGGAAAGGGAAAGGCAGTGTAAATTATAGCATGATGTTGGAATGTTTTCGATCAAGCCATCTGGATAGCCGTATTGCTTATCCCTTCCTACTAGGTCAGCATTGTAGCTCTAGGGCCAGTAAATGTCAACAATTTAAATTAAAGGACCACTGAGCTGTGACTGATTCTTCCCTCTGGGGTGCTATTCAGGGTTAATTCTGCTTGCTGTAAATTATTTCTTACAAGGACAATTCGGGGAGTTCATATGTAATGGGAAAGGGGGAGGAGGGGCCTCTCATAGATTTGCGAAGTATTGCAGCTCATTTGTGAGTTGCACACTTATCACAACATGGTGCATTCTAGTCACTTAGATAGGAAGAGCCCGTTGAGGTCCACAGTTTTGTGAGATATTGGCCAAACGACAGACCTTCTCTGCAGCAGCCCCCACTTTCAGGAGCTCTTTCCTCAGAGGCACATACAGTCTGTCCTTTGTTTGTATTTCATAAGCAAGACAAATGTCTATGGAGATTCTCAGTCATCCAGGTCAGGGTTGTCCCAAAGCTGCTATTTTTAAGCAGCAACTGGGCTTTCTGGTTTTTCTTTGAAGACATTTCACTTCTCATCCAAGAAGCCTCTTCAACTCTCACTGGAGCATGGGGAATGGAAGGATTTATACTCCTTGCAGACAGCTGGTCATTTGCATTCTTTTAGTGGGTCTTTTAAGGTCACCTGGAGGTTTATCTGTGTCATCAGGGTCATCTGAGTGGTGCAAATTGGTGTGAAGCCTTTTGGGAACTGTTGAAAGGACTGTGTGGTAGATTGGAAATAGATGATGTGGTATTCCTCCTTCCCCCCCCCCTCAGGGGAGCCAGATGACACAGATAAACCTCCAGGTGGCCTCAACGATGCTCTAAAACAATGCAAACGACCAGCTGTCTGCAAATTCTTCCATTCCCCACCATCCAATCAGAGCTGAAGAAGCTTCTTGGATGAGAAGTGAAACGTCTTCAAAGAAAACCCAAAAAGTCCTCTTGAAAAAAGCACCTTTGGGATAAGCAAGGCAAGGTTGTCCCAAATGATGGGATGATTGAGAATCTCTACAAAGTTGTGTTGCACCAGTAAGGTATCAGCTTTTAGTGGGTTTTGACTAGAACATGTATCTTGTATATGTAAGCCTTGTATGTAATTATATTTCCACATATTGCAGAGTCGTTCAGGACTGGGTAGAAAATAAATACATACATATTGTATTCAATATGGTGTATTCAATATGGTGTATTCAATATGGTGTATTCAAAATACATTGAAAATAAACAATTTTCCTTTTTGGTAAAAAATAATTGTTTGAAACAATGAAGACATTTTTATGCTCACTTGCTTTTCTTTTAACTCTCTTTGCAATAAGTGCTTTAAAGTTCAATAATTTTATTTTTTAGGCATATTAGAAATTTAACACAGAATAACTGAAAACAAGCACCAAAACAGGACATATAATTTTTCAGAATCTTTTTAAAGGTAAAAAAAAACCTTTTTTTTAAAAAAAAACCTTTAACATTTTTAAATAATTAACTTCGTTCACAAAGGCTTTTTATGAGAACAGGTAACTTATTAAATCTTAAATACACTTTTTTTCCAAAATAAAGGCCAAATCAAGGCATTAACAACAGAACGTCTTCCAGCATGAATTTAGGCATTTAATAACACCAACTTATGCAACTGGAATAGAGACGAATTTTTCCTGCTTACAGCTGGTTGATCAGATTGATCAATAATAAGTGATGATCTCACCTAAAAGGGGGAAATTAAGAAAGAGGTTAGTAATAAACCACATTTTTATGCAAGTAAAGTAAGTCTTTATTGATTAGCCTTGGCCCATATCAAGTAAAATAAGAAAACTGAGTAACTTCTAACTTTCTTAGATACAGTTACAAATATAAAATACATTAACTTTTTCTTTAAAATTCAATAGTACAGGTATTTCTCAACTTATGACCACAATTGAGCCTAACATTTGTTGCTAAATGAGACATTTGTTAAGTGAATTTTGCCCCATTTTACTAGGTTTCTTGTCCCAGTTGTTAAGTGAATCACTACAGTTGTTAAATTAGTGATATGGTTGTTAAGTGAATGTGTCTTCTCCAATGACTTTGCTTGTAAGAAGGTTGCAAGAGGTGATCACATGACCCCAAGATACTGCATCCGTTATAGATACGGCTCAGTTGCCGAGCATCTGGATTATGATCACATGATCATGGGAAAGTAGCAACAGTCGTAAGCTTGAACAATGGTCATAAGTCACTGTTTTCAGTGCCATTGTAACTTTGAATGGTCACTAAATGAACTGCTGTGAGTCAAGGACTATTTCTATAGTATTTCTATAGTCATAAACAGTGATGAAATTCAAAAAAATTACTACAGGTTCTCTGGGCATGGCAGAAGGATACTTGCAAAATCTCCATTTCCCACCCACTCCAGGGGAAGGATACTGCAAAATCCCCATTCCCTCCCCATTCTGGGACCAGCAAGAGGTGGTATTTGCCAGTTCTTCAAACTACTCAAAGTTTCTGCTACCAGTTCTCCAGAACCTGTCAGAACCTGCTGAATCATAAACAGTTCTAATTATCAAGAGCCACAGTGGCGCAGTGGTTAGAGTGCAGTACTGCAGGCTACTTCTGCTGACTGTAGGCTGCCTGGAATTTGGCAGTTTGAATCTCACTAGGCTCAAGGTTGACTCAGCCTTCCATCCTTCCGAGGTGGGTAAAATGAGGACCCAGGTAGTTGGGGGAAAGATGCTGACTCTGTAAACCACTTAGAGAGGGCTGTAAAGCACTATGAAGCAGTATATAAATCTAAGTGCTATTGCTATCAAATCCCAAAATTAAAACTTCATTTTTTTCAGTTTCAAGCCAAAGTCCAAAAGTTGTCTTCAGGTACAAAGTTAAACAATTTTTCATTTTCAGTTCCTTTTTTTTCTTTCATATATTTATCTTTTGTAGAAACAGATAGAACTTTTTTATTTTTAGCCCATCATCTTTGCAGTTCAAGCTAAAAGAGGTTTTGCTCATATATTAAAGCAAGATTTAAAACTGGGAACAAAATCTACCTGGGTCCATTCGTATGACTTCTTATACCACGTGGGAGGAACAGCTTCACGAGGTTTTGATTTGCAAATCAAGCTGAAAGAGGAATTGCAAATAAAAGAAAAATTTGTATGAATAATATCCCTTCAATGGAGAGCAGATTAATAGGAAAACAATAGCACTTCAAATGCTGAAAGGATGTCACACAGAAGGTCAAGACTTGTTTGGTCTCATTCCAGAGTGCAGAACAAAGTACTCACGTTATAAGAGAGCTGATTCTGAGTAATGGTTTTTCTTTTTTTTTAAAAAAATCTTAACAATAAATGAAGTTTAACAGCGGAAATAATTATTCAGAGAGTGATGCTTCACTAGATGTGCTCAAGCCATCTAATTAATTAGATTTGGGCTCCTGGAATAAACAGACCGTTGGGTTTCAAAACCGAAAAGGTCATTTCCAACTCTTAAGATTTTATCATTCTGTATTTTTTTGGACCTAATGCTAAAAAATAAAAAGTACAGGTAGTCCTCCACTTACAACAGTTCGCTTAGTGACTGTTCAAAGTTACAACGGTGCTGAAAAAAGTGACTTATGACCATTTTTTCAGAATCCCCATGGTCATGTGATTTACATTTGTATGCTTGACAATTGACTCACATTTATGACGGTTGCCATATCCCGGGATCACCTTTTGCAACCTTCTCACAAGCAAAGTCGATGGGGAAATCAGATTCACTTAATAACCGTGTTACTAATTTAACAACTCCAGTGATTCACTTAACAAATGTGGCAATAAAACTCGTAAAATGGGTTAAAACTCATTCAACAAATTTCTCACTTAGCAACGTAAATTTTGGGCTTCAATTGTGGTCATAAGTTGAGGACTACCTGTAAAGGGTTAATGCAAGATATATATCATATGCTTGGAGCCGATCAAGTGATCTATGATTCAGAACAATTGAGATTTCTTTCCCCTGTATCAGCTTTTTCTATTGGGTGGTCTCCATATGTATTGGGTTGTAACTCTCAGCATTTATAAGAAAGGCAGGGGGGGGGGACGGGACGTTGAAAGGTATGAATAGGAGGGAAATGGCCTTTAACGAAATCCAGAAGCTCCACTTCTAAATCTATACAAGGTAGTCAAATTATCGCACAATCTAAGGTTAATAAAGTAGCTAGGGCATGGGTCCCCAACCTTTCTGGCTCCATGGACCGGCAGAGAGCAGAGAATGGTTTCACATGCACATGCCGGCTACTTTGCACAAATGGAGCTTTGCATGCTCATACACTGCTTCCGTGCCCCGGTTCCCAACCGGCTGTAGACTGGTAGCAGTCTGCACACCGGGAGTTGGAGACCCCTGAGCTAGGGTGATAGGTACTTCTCTCTCCTTGCTTCCATATCCTAGCAGCTCAAATACCAACTGGAAGAATTTATTAAGTACATTCTGATGTTAGAGACATTTTTAAAATTATAATTTTAGTCACAGTGTTTAAACTCTGCACTAGCCAGGTATATACATATAATTACGTGCCATCAAGTCAGGAGTGATTTTTAGTGATCGCATAGGTTTTCTCCATGATGAGTATGGATGTATATACACTATATTTACTGTTTGTGCCTCTATCTATCTATCTACTCATCCATCCATAGAAAGGAAAGCTATGCTGGCTATTTTTAGAATGTCTTATTGTGTACAGGAACTCGGTTGCTAGATTCTTTCTCTGCCAACTCCTCCGTCTCTAAACTCTGCAAAGTAAAGCAGTATTTGTATTCTAATTCATTCTGTCTAGACATGTGTTTTTCAAATACATAACTTCCTCTTAAGTAGTGAAGACACATAAGACATACAATTAACTTAAAATGCAGATATATGATTTGGCTATGATTTTATGAAGTCATTCCCCTCTTTATTTTTAATGCACTTTGGGATCCAGGCACATTATTTTTTTTTTCTAATCCTATTTAAAAAAACAAACAAACTACAGAGCAGGTAAACTGGGAAGGAAAGTAAACCATCCATTCAATTTCTCCTTGAAAGATAGTTTTAACATTATTCCTAGAATTGCAGAATTGCAAAGGTAAGATTTTTTTTTTCTTGCATGCTGTTATTGCTTGTATTTTTCATACAGAGGAATCCAACAAATATGCATCCTTACCTGGTCAGAGAGATTGTGCTGAGAACAAGGCAACAATATTTCCACACCTCCTATCATAAAACCTGAAATTATTTTCTTTCAATGTCTTTCTATTTTGGGGAGATTTGCACTTCTGATTTGTCTTTTTTTAAGGCATCAGAAATCACAGGCTACTTACATTGTAGCTAACTAGAACTTCATACAAACCAAGTGAAACTCAAATGAACGTTGTATCCAGATGTGAACCTTAATATTATCCCATTGCACTTCTGTCTTTATTGTTTGTGGCATAGTGACGTACAATCTATACAACGTGTTCGTATTCTGTGTTTATTTTTTAAAATTTACATTACATCCCAGCGGATAATGACAGAATATGCTTCTTCAACTCATCTCAGCCTCTTTCCACTGCCACAACACATAAAATTATAAGCACAGCTCCTTTACACAGTCGCATGCACTTAATTTCTTCCGCTTTATTTCTCCATCCATCCATTTCCAAATTCCAGCACTTCCAACTGCAACAAGTGTGTGTTTGTTCTTTTCGAATTCAAGTCTATAAAACCAACCCTTTCACCCCAAATGACACACAGTAGAATTGCCTATTAGAAGGTGGCTGTTTCTCATCTATCCTCAAAACTTTCTCAATAGGGTTTTTTAAGCTCCGTATCATTGGAGATTTCCACTACCAACATAGGCTTTCATATTTAAATTGATTCAGTCCACTTATAGCTAAAAGAGTGTTAGGAGAAATAAATCACTGGTTGATACTAAAAAATGACAAGATCATCTGGATGCTCAATAAAATTGCTGTAGAGAACTGTTCTGTCCCACCTTCTCCGCTCGTTAACAAACGGCAAGCAGGCAAACTTAAAAGGAACTCTCTTTATCAGTTCTCGACTCAGACCGGCTGTGAGCCCAAAAATAGCGTAAATACAGTCTCTGACCAGATAACAGAATACAAAACAAATCTCTCTTACGGCAACACAAGTTGAACAAAACAAAAGCAAAGCACTTCTTCCAAAGTCTCTACGAATCAGGGCTACAGAAATCAAAGC